ATATATATATATATATATTTTTCGGCTCGAATTGGTCGTAAAGGGAAGAATATCAATTAATGTTGGAACGAAAAGGAAGACAGGCGAATTCGTCGATGCGTGGAATCGTGATAGAGCGCGCGGATCTTTCAGAGGAAATGAGCCATCGACTGCTTTGTATCCGTTCTCTTTTGTACCGCGGGCATTCCGTTTCGAAATCGATGAGAAGAGGTGCGGTGGTAAAGGGTTTCGAAAAACACGACGATATGTGTGCCCCGACAAAAAGACGTTTTATTCGATTCACAAAGAAGTTCCCACATTGTTGGTCGTGCCACTCCAGACGATGCCCAAGCACTCGAGGTTGCTACGGGTGTTTCGATGTTCAAGGGATGCGCCAGAGTCTGGGCTGTTACGCTGCCCTTCTGTATTTATGGCTCGTTTTTCCGCGTTTCGACGCGTGGCAACTCGGCACAAAAGCCTATTGATGCCCACCCGCTGTACAATGTTACTCGTTAAATCTATTTATATATGAAGACATCGTTAATTCCACCGCCGGTTCGTGTTTGCCGCTGTATATAGAAAGTGTATAGAAAATTAGCCGTACAGGATGCTCCAAAATTGGCGACGCCGAACGCGCGTTCGACGGTCGATGAAATTTCCATCGAACAGCGAGAAACAAACGGTTAATCGATGATAGTTCGCGAACTTTCACGCCGTGATATCAATATCTGCGCAGAGAGTTCAAAACGTCAACGAATTCACACTTCAACGCCTCGGAACTGATATCTTCCTGCGGATTAGATTAACTTCTGGTATTGTACAAGTAGACAGAAGATGCGCAAAAATAAAGCAAGAACGAAACTTCATGCGTATGCATTTATGTAGATAAACTGGCCACCGATTTTATTTCTCTGAAAACTTGAAAACTGAGTAGACGTATTTTACAATTAATCATTACAGCATTACTCACAATCAGCCACAATGGCAAAGTCGAATCTTTTGGAAACAAAAGGTTTCCTACACTTTTGATTTATTTCTGCGATCATCGAAATTATGAAACATCCTACACGTCAGTTTGTACGAAACTCGGTACGATTCATAGTTACGGAACTAGACTTAGCCCATTTGTTCCCACAAGTCGAGAAACTCGGTATCGTTTATATCCTAAGTTAATACATTTCTAGAAATCTTGTTCTTTCGCCTTTGTTCCGCGTTTGCTTCACTCCTCGTTTCGTTCGTTGACCGCCAGAATTCTCACCAAATCGTTCGACGACTCGTCGACGTTCGTGTAGGTGACCGTGTCCCGGTTCTTCCGCCTGATGTCCCAGCGACCGAGCGGTCGTCTCAGCAGGAAGAAGCCCACGGTCATGGTAATTGCCACGACCAGTATAAAAACCGAGGCCCACAACACTGGATGGAACATCGATCCATCGTCATCGCATTCGAGCTCGTAACTTGGTATCTCGCTTAGTTGTTTGTTCGCGTGTTGCTTTGGGCTTCTGCACCTGACGAGACGGAGATTGAAGAAATTATACGTATATATTACGGTAGAACTCCATTCGTTGAAATGAAATTTTAATTAAGCTTCGACTCGAGCCGAGCTCTTGCCGATTGAATCCCCTAATCAAAACGTCGATTGCCATTACATGAACGAAAAATGAATAGGGAAAATTGGGAAATTTCTATTACGTGAACTTCATCCCTTGATGAATTCGGATAAGTGTAACTCTGTTACAACGAGAAATATTCTTTCTTGAGAGTTCAAAAATTAAGTAAGGAAGAAGAAGTTGTAAATTGTTTAACGGTATATATGTAAATTAAGTTAAAATTTGAAATGAAAAATAATTTTAATAATAGCAGAGACATCTATACTAGAACCGCGGAAACCACTGAAACCAATTGAAATTATCGACCGTTGTCCGACGGAAAATTTATACAGAGCAGAGAATTTTTACTTACTTGATTTGTCGGCTGACAAGCTTTGTTGCATTTGACACACTTAGCCACCGCATTTTGCAGTCGCAGTGCCAAGGATTGTTCTCCAGGTTCAAAATCGGCGTTCTCTTTATTATCGACACGAGGCTGGGCGACAAAGTTCTCAGTCCGCAGTCCCTCACCGAGAGTCGTTGCAGTCGTGGCAAAATATGATCGTTAAACGGATTCATTTTCAAAAACGTCAGTGCCTTCGACCCGTCTGTGGATAATGTTTCTAGACTGGTCAAATTTTCGAACTCATTGAGCAATAATTCCGTCAAATTTTTCATGTTGTTCAGTTTCAATTCTCGCAAACCGGGTAAGTAAATGCCTCGCAATCGTGACACGTGAGTGTTGGACAAGTCGAGCTCTTCCAGATTGGCTGGTAGCAATGGAATCGCACCGATGGGATTTTCTGACAAATCTAGGGTAGATAAGTTGGTCAGCGTTTTGAAAAACTCGGAGGAGAAATACGACGACGACACGTTGCTCAGACTCAAATATCGCAGCGCCTTCAAGTTCCAGAAAGCGTTTTCATGAATTCCGTTGTTGATCGGATTGTTGGCTAACGTAAGGTACTCCAAAACCTAAAAAATGAGTTTATTATATACGAGTTTATTACACAGTATGTTCATCTCTCTGCTTTTCGTAATGCTATATAAAGTACAATTGTAGTTACTTTGAAATGCTCGAGCATAGTCTCGTTAACGATCGATAGTCTATTCCACGAGAGATCGAGTATCTTGAGCTTCGGAATTCGGTCGTTGAAGGCATTGTCATCGATGTATTCAAGCTTATTGTGACTGACGTTTAACACTTGCAAATTGTACTCGTCCTTGCAGAGGAAGAAGAACCTTTGGAGATGATTCTGCGACAGGTCCAGAGTTCTCAGACTCACAAGGTTCGTAGAACAATCGAGAAAACTGTCGAATTCATTCTTCCGTAGAATAAGATCGGTGACTTCTTGCAGATTGATCTGCGTTTGAATCTTCATGAAAAAGTCTTCTTTCTTCAATCCACGCTCAGACAGATCCACCTAGAACGAGGAGAGTGTTCATATTTAAATTTCATGGAAACATTATTCCCGTGCGTGAAGCGAGGAGAAAGAGAAAGAAAATCTTAACAGTTTCGAGAACGTCGACTTCGGGAGGCGGGAAAAAACGAATCATGGCGCGCCATTACGTCACAGTAAGTTGCAATTCAAAATTTGAAATCGGCAGTAACGCAAGGTGAAGGCGAGAATTATTTAAATTACTACCCCACATAGGTAACAATAAATAACACACAGTTTAAAACTCTAAATTGCAACGTATCGCAGTGCAAGCGTAAAAGAGATTATGCGAATGAGCGATAACGCATCTGGGGGGCGACGTTATAAAAAAAAATGTCACCAAATGGCTTTATGCGAATCAGTTATCAGGTCGGATGTCAAAAAGTCACGTGTATAGACCCACCAACTTCGAGTTCGTGGCAGCAATTAAGACGAGGATAGTGATAGTCCCGAGCCACATTGTCCAGGTGGTACACAGATATATACACGATGAAAAACTCGATTTCGTTTGAATCGATCACACCGCCAGGGACCGCCTAGTTTCAACTATGCCTCTCACACAACGATCCGTTGGAATGGCAACGAATTCATCCGCGACATACTCTGCTCACGATTACAGTGCCGAATTAAGAGGGGATCAGGAGGGGCTTCAGCATCCTGATGCAGTTGTTTCAACGATTTCCCTCTTCCTCGCGCTGCAACTTATAACATATATCGTCTTGTGGAAATCTTTCAGCGATATTCAGACTCTCTTATACTTTGAGATTTTAGTTTTTAAACACGCGGATTTTCCTTTACATTGCATACAGAGTAATATTCACGTAATAACGACGAATTTGATCGAAAGTAAAATTATAGCTATGCTTTCGATGCTTCTGAATTATTTGATACTTAGCCGAAAATTTGAATTATTTTATATATCTTTCATTCATTCGGTATGTTAGTCAAAATTTGTCATCGAATTTCCTTCGGCCTTTGCACCGTTCCAAGATTAATTTTCTTATCAGATTTCTTAAATTTCGTATTATGATTATATTAAACGGTTTGTACAATGCAACTGATGAAATGTAAAAGAAATCGTTCGAGTATCCTTTAGAATGAATTCGCAGGGCGCGCGCCGAGTTAATCCGTACCCGACCAGTTCAGAATCCGAGAGGCTAACGCACCACTTTTTCGATAAAGCGAGATTACGTCCCCGATCCGCTCTTATGCTCTGCGGTGTGTTTGCTTTTTTCCCTCTCAGGTCTTTTAATCGCGTATTTTTTTCAATTAATTTACACTCTCACTACGATATCGGGCGACGAAACTCACGACGGAATTATTAAAAAAAAACAAGAAATAAGAAAAAAAAAGAGATGGAACTAGGGAAAAGGAAAAACAGGAATGATTAAAATGATGTGACAATTAACCATTGCATTCGAATGCACGACTGACATTATTCGACGGAAACGTTGAAGCATATCTAGCTATCAGTGTCTTGATAAAGTCTGTACCAGTAAGCATTTAACTACTAAATATGCAATTCATATAAAGTAGAATATCTTTTTTATTTCACATTCACGATTAGCTCGTGAATTATTAATAAATTTTTGGCTCTTTATCTTTCTTCTTCTTTTTCAAATTCAGCGTCTTAATACTGCATGTTTCTTTTTTTTATATTGGAAATGTGAAATAACGTTCGAATATTCATATAATATCTTTATTGGATTATTCCAAGTTGTAATTATAGAAATATATAGAATCATTTAATAAACTATTTTTATCAAGATTTCTATATTTATAGTATCACGTTTAAGTATCTACTTCAGTTAATTTACGTCATCAGTGATGAATATTGATCATTGATGGAGTTAGCTTATTAAGGAAATATAGGGAATTAGATTAGCGTATAATATTCTTGGAAAATTAGTTGTGCGAATACAACATAAATGATACAGCTCATTAAGAGTCAGGCATTTATTCATCGAACGATATCGTGTTCGTGCTAAGAACGAGTTATTGCCGTCAAGACATGTGATATACTATAATAACAAATACTTCAATATTTTTAACGCGTATGCGATAACAATGGCAAGAGAGTCGTTTATTTTTTCGGAGTCTGAGGTGTGCTTGTCGCTTTAAATACCAATGGATTTGATACTCGGAATATGCTCGGTAACATTGTGGCTAGGGTACCAAATACTTCCTCTGACATTCCCTAGAAAACATAAATTTTTGTTAAAAAATATCTGAATAGGCAAGACGATCATTTATTCCATTATACTTTTATGAATCAAATTAAATCACTTTTGGTACTAAAAATTGTAGATTCTTTAACTCAGCGCCACCCCAAGATGCCATTTCTATCATGAATCCTTTAACGCATTTGAAAACTAGTTCTGCCCTTTTTGTACACCACGCAACAGTCATATCCTAAGATAATAAAATAAAATTTATTTATTTAAATATTTGTGAGGAATATTTTTTTTTTTTTTTTAAGTGAAATATACCTCGGACATTTCATGAACGAGAAGTATAGGAATTGTTAGCGTGGTTACATCGTTGCAACATGCAGTTTTCAAAATGTTTCGCAATCCTAAAATGACCGGATGCCTCGAATTGATGTCGCCTGTAAATTGAGCAAAAAAATTTCTTGTCAACACGAAGAATCTACACCTAACAGAATATTTATTACTCACCAGATCGCAACGAATCGTTTACAACCATATGGAAAATTACATGCACTTGCGCTAAATTTGAATGTCTTGTAATATAAACATCGCCTGTTTGCAAACTTTTACTACCCGTTGACCTTTTTGTCTGTTGAAAAAATACTTGTTTGAATGTAATGGCAAAAGCAATATATAGTATCCTTTACAATTCTAGTTTATTTTTGCTTACTTGTGAATCATTTCCTTCTCTGTGATGTGCTTGCCTCCAGGCAACAGCATCCTTCACATCTTCTCGAATTTTCTCTAATTGTTCATCGATTGGTGGGAAATGGAACTCTGTCGTCAATTGACATATTGAACATAATTCTAAAAATAATTTGATTTTTAATTAAATATAATCGAATAGCTCTTATTAATTTAATATGTAAAAAAAAATAACGTGATACCTTTTGTTATTCCCGAGTAACTTCCTAAATGATTATCACTCAGCAGTACTAATCCACACAAATCATTAGAATACAATCCTAGAGCAGTCTGTAGTCTTTGAGGCGTTGGATCCATTCTATTTCGAAACAAATGAAATAGTTTCCTCAAATTGAATTTAAATATGAAGTAGTCAGTATTTTATTCTAATTTACCAACCCAGAATCGCTTTTTTTTGTTCTACAAAAGTCTAAAACATCGCCAGTGAGTATACGTATATTGTGCATTTGTTTCATCTGAGAACCTAAATGTATGGTAAAACTTTCCTCCAAAATAGGATATTCAGCCGTGTTCTTCTCTTCACTATGAACAAAATTGTCTAATGCCGGTCGTATCGGTGGCATCGATAATATTGGTGAACCCCTAATAGTCATACGATTTATTACTATCATATCCATATCATGCTTCTATTTATTTTATTTATAGAAACGTACACTGGAGTCGGTAACATATTGGTCTGTTGTTCTTCGAGTAACCTCATGATCCAGTTACGATATTGTCGCCTTTGGTCTAATTTCAATGCATCGACTCTTGATCCCCAGTGACCTTGTAATAAACTTTGTTCCTCAAAATGCCGTCCCGCCATCTCGTTTATAGATTTTTCTGTAGAACCAGCTTCAAGAGATTCTACAGCGACTCGCATTTCCTCAGTTTGCCTGCAATACATTTTGCTGACATTTTCTTATAGCCTTTCTTTTTTCTCACACATTCATAAAACAATGATACTTCAAAAACAATATTGGATTAATTGTATCTGCTCAATTACAAGTCAAAACAACAATATTAATTGTAGAAAATTATAATTGAAGCTGTACTGTTATTTGCGTTAGATATAGAAATTGCATTCCAGTTATTATAGACGATGTTCATGCATATTAATATCGTTGAAAAGTGATCATTGATTTATATTAAAACTGCTAATAATCTATATATAGAAAGGTCAATGCAAGCGATAAATATATCACTTAGAACAATAAATGGCTTTGTATAGTGTAAATATTAGTATACAGATTGCATTTTTATTTTTTAGTACAACATATGAACACAAGAGTAAGAAATAGTAAGAAATAATATGTACAAAAAATTCTTTACAATGTGATACAATATTGCTACTAACTTTTGAGTAAGTTGTTCATAGTGAGAATCTCTCATTTGAATAACTTCAGTTACATCTCTTCCAAATTTATGTTCTGCTTGAAGAATGGGTTCTAGTGACGGAGAGTGTACCAATTTGTGATATGCAGCAGCAAATAATTCTTCATCTGTTGTTCCAATAGGATCAGCATATTCTGCTGTCTTTTGCTTGTAAGTCTTTTCCCAGTTTTTTATAATATCTTCGATATCCAAATTTCCTGATATTGCATCTTCAAGAGCTTTTTCTGCTTTCTTGTCGTAAAACTCTAATGTTAGTGTTTTAATAGCATACTCCAATGATTGCAATAGATCTGATTCTACGTAGCATGGTAATTTAAAAGATGACATTATACGGTACATAAGTTCCTTGACATTTCCTCCATATGGTATCTTTAATGGTACTTCCAATACGTATTCTTGATTTGTAGTACATGTTGGAAATTTATATATAAATGTTTTCTCCACAAACTCGTCCTCAGGCATATTCATATCTTCTACGATAGTTTTTCATTCTTTACAGCCCAAATATCTTTTTTACATATAAAGAGTCTCTAATTGGTTTTCTAAAGATATTAAGTGAAAAAAAATTTAATTTAATGTTTAATACTTAAAATATCAGCAATAATAAATATAAATTAAATAATCACTAAATAATAAGGTATAAATTAGACATGATATTATAGCACATCATTGTAAATGCTTGATTATTATGATAATAACAAAGGTCAAGCTTATTTTTTTATAGTCAATATTTTGCAGAGGTCAGGTTTCAAAACATTCAGATCATAAGGTCAACGATAAGCTATAGAAATAACTCTGATTGCACCTTTTATCTATCTACATTCTATTAAAAACAATTATTTTAATGTATTAATTGTAATGGCTTTAGATTTGGCTTTTAGATAAACTTTGTTATCAAACACGCATAAATTTGAGATTACACTTGTAAAACAGCCAATTAAAAATATGCAAAAAACAATTTTAATGCAATCAGGAGTTTTTATAGTAAAATTCATTATCAAACATTTTGAAGAGTATTTTGTACGTTGCTTCGTGTACAATTATTTGAAATAGATATGATTTTGAATTTTTATTACCGATTATAAGGGCGCTAGCAGAAAGATCTTTGATGAATTTCAAAAACATATTAATGAGCAATGATTTAAAACTATAGTAACATTTGTTTTGAACTTTTGTGCAATGTTAATATTTTTAAAAATATATATAAAGCAGCAATATCGCATTGAACTAACATATCTGTTATATTTCTCTACTTACAACCTAACCTTAAAAATTATACTTGCAAAATGTTCATATTTTCATAGTTAGCGATTCTCTCCTTGTCATTTGGAAAGGTTGCTTCTGTTTTGTTTTAAATAAAACATTCTAAACGAACAGATGGAACACACACATAATAATAGTCGTAAAAACTCTTTAACGCCCCTCTGTGATTTGATCAACAGTTCATCCAACTTAAACATCATTCATGTCGTTTAAGTAATATGCTTCTTATTACCTTGCATCTTAAACATATAGAATTGACAAAGAACATTTCGTTGTGCAAACTAATTGCATTAAATATTATAATTTCCCAACAACTGAACGATTGTCATTTGTTTCTATTATTTAAATTAATATATTGTTACGTTGGCTATACTATGATTTGACTGCAAGCGTCGGCAAAATTTTAGAACGTAATTTTGGCGGTTGCAGATTTTTAAATATTATTTAAAATTTTCATCATGGTCGAAGACAAAAATCAAAATGTAGAACTAACAGATCATGAAGCTGAATTATATGATAGACAAATTCGATTATGGGGTTTAGAATCACAGAAACGGCAAGTATAGTTTAACTTAACCTAGAAGTTTTGTAACAATAAATAAATCGTTATTATACGAATAAAATTTTTACAAAATAGAATAAATTTATTTTAAGGAATTAATTATAAAATACATTAGTAATATTTATTTAGTATATAAATAATATACATATAAATGTTCAGTTTAAATTGACGTGCAATATTAAACAATTGTAGGTTACGAGCAGCGAAAATTTTACTAATAGGTTTAAATGGGTATGGAGCGGAAATAGCAAAAAATATTATTCTAGCAGGTGTTAAAGCAGTTACATTTTTAGATCATAGGAATGTAACAGTCGAGGACTGGTGCTCACAATTTTTAGTACCTAGAGAATCACTCGGAAAAAATGTAGGTATATAGATTTGAATATAGGATGGTGTATTATTTATATGGAAATTTTGTTTATAGAGAGCTGAAGCATCTGTACCAAGAGCACAAAATTTAAATTCTATGGTTGATGTAAAAGCAGATACATCTAACGTCGATGATAAGCCAGATACATATTTTAGTGAGTTTGATGTAGTTTGTGCAACACAATGTACTATTATGCAAATAAAAAGGATTAACGAGGCATGTAGAAAACACAATGTTAAATTTTTTGCCGGAGATGTATGGGGATTGTTAGGTTATACTTTTGCTGATTTGATGACTCATGAATATGCCGAGTAAGTTGAGTTTCAAGCTAGATTTCTAGCAGTCGTTTATTAATGTAAATATGTTATTAAAAACTAAAACTCTGTTTTACAGAGATGTAGTACAAACAAAGAAAATACAAATCTCAGACAGTGGTGAACCTATGCAAAAGGAAAAATTTGAAAATATAATTGTAACTGAAAAACATATAGAGACTTTTGTACCTTTTAAATCAATTTTAAATGTCACAAAATCTTCTCTTTCCAAAGATTCAGAAATATACTATATGATATTAAGTAAGTAAAGGAAGATTTTTATAATAACGTATTTAAAACATTTTTACATTATCTGTTCTTATCTGTAGTAATGCTCAATTATCGCGAGAAGTATGGCAAAGATCCATTACCTAGTGAGAGAGGTTCTGAAAATTTGAAAGCAGAGGCTGATATAATTATAAAAAAGTACGATCTCGAGGATAAAATAGATCATTTAATTGAGTATGTATTGGGAAAAATGTTATATTATTTAAAAAATTTTTAATTCATTGAAAATTATATGGTGAAACTTATTATTGATTCAGGAGTGATTTATATGCTCAAATTAGTCCAGTGTGTGCCATTGTTGGAGGCATTATGGGTCAAGAAATAATTAAAGCCGTCTCACAAAAAGGTACTCCACACAATAATTTGTTCACGTTCAATCCAGATACATTGTGTGGAAAGATTTTGAGATTGGGCCACTAATAATAATTTTGCAAGATGGTACGTCTAAGTATTTTTTTGTGATTATGATTGACACGATTATTTTCATAATTTCTCATTCGATGTTTCCCATCATAAAAATGAAATAAATTTGTTTAAAAACAAAGAAGAGATACTACTGTTTTACAGCGATCTTCCTTTATGCACTATTGTCTATTGTGTCACTGACGTGCTGATGTCAGAAATTCTTTATATATTCATATCAGGAAAGAGTATATCTTGGGGCTTTCCTGGCATCTATTTTCGATTTACGAAAATTCTTTTTCGACTCGATTTCGTTTATTTGGAGTTACGTTACGCTTCTTATATTCCACTTCAAAACCGAAAAGAACGTATCGCCCGAGTTTTGAAGCTGTGAAAGTTATGAAATATATGTGAATATATGTTCCGATATGTTCTTTCTTTCTGAGGCATATAAATGTTCAGTGCACACGTTTTGTTGGTATAAATGTGGTTTATCACAGCTTGTATACGTATTCCAAGGTATTTTTGTTCACCGTGTACAATCCTCAGGAACGAAGGGGTCGTCGCGCGTACGTGGAAATATGACTCACTTTCCCGGCTTCCGCCGGGGCAATTTGAGACCCGCTTTGCGGATTTTTTTCGTGTCCTCTCGCGTGGAAAACGCGGTGGGAAACGTGAAATGGAAATTGAAAAATTGGAAAAGGGGGAGTCGAGCTGGCGCACGGCTCGTTATGTTTTATCGGCTCGCTCGATATTACGTTCGTTGCCGCGACAATCTTTTTTTTATGCTTCGACATTATTTAAAACGTTGTACCCTTTCGTGAAGCCTCCCGGATGAAATCGCATTATTTTTCAATATTCAGATTTATCTCGTGAGAATCTTAATGGAGCCTCAAATTAAATACAACCATATAGGGTGTTTTAAACATTAAAATAACGAGAAAAGCATCAGTTAATGTTTATTTTCTAAGAACAATTTAATTTTACATACATGTTATTTTACTTATTCTATACTCTCGAATATAAAACTTTACTCTCTTTTATTTTAATATATCTATTTATTAATTTTTCTCATATATGTAGACTGTCTCAACCTTTATTTTGATAAGTTTTATTTCTTTTTCAGATATTTTATTATATCAAATATTATAACACTTATCTATTCCAATAATATACACGAACAACAACATGAAATCTGATAAGTACATGTAAATAACTTATTTAACATCAAACCACACCATTGTACGAATGATTCTACGTTGAACAATCGCCTTCGCGCGAAATAAATATCATTCTCGCTCCGTTATCCGCGTGTATCAACGTCGTACGTAGGCGTTCGAGAATTGATTCGATTTTCACCGAAGAATTATGACGTATCATCTTTCCCCATGAACACGATGTCGACGTTGTGTATCCCCAATGATCATCGTCTACGGTCGTATGTAAATGACCTACACGGTCGGACTTACACGTAAAACGCTTATCCGCCTCGCGTACCTCTTCCCCGATTGCAGGTACTTACAAGCGTGTATCATCGTGTTCCTTAACGATGTGTCCACGTGCTTTCACGGCTGTCGAATTATCGTTCACGGAGCGCTTTCACTCGCGTGTCCCTCGCTCGTTGAAAAACCATTAACTCGACCGAAACTCGTATACGAAACGGTCACCCTCTTGCTCCTCTTAATTCGCGTTGGTACGCTCATTCGCGTTTCCTCCGCTGGTTCAGGGGGAGGTTGAACAGCTACGTGACTGATCTGCCGTCACGTATCCACAAGCGCGACCAATTGTGTTGACTGGTGATTTATAAATTTAATAGTCCACCGTCATTCTGGCGGAAACGAGTCTGCCCCGCGCTCGAGAA